CTGTTCAGTGCTGACTCTAGCAAAGTCGAAGATCTCATTCTAGAGGGAAGGCGCAGTTCAAAATATCCGACTAAATGTCTTGCTGACCTGAAGTACACAGACTGCATCATCTTGATGAGCGGTATGGGAAGAGGGCACTGTCATTTGACGACTTCGGTATGTGACACCGCAGCGAAGGCCGAATCTTCCTTGATGCCCAGAAGTACAAGATTTTGAGGAACCAATCAGAAACGACTGATCCACAAGTGGAACAAACCTGGAAGGCCATAGAAGAAGTTGACCAATTTAAGCATTCCGGTTCACACATCACCTCCAGATATGGCACCATTAAATAAGAGTTAAACAGAAGTAATTTCATTCTCCTCTCCAGTGCTTTGGTAACCTGTGAAACATTTAGGTTGAAAAACAAGTGATTTATTCCACAAAAGACAAAACTCTATCTTGCCTCAGCCCAGTGTTGTTTCATGGCATTGACACCACTGTTCTAATGAAGGACCAATAATCGCGATTTAATTGCGTGCAGCAAAGTTGAATTCGATTCATTATAAGGATTAGATTAAGGAGGATGACTTAGGGGATGGCTTTATTTTGTTTCGACCGCAAACGACTTCAGCATATGTTGAGATTATGAAAAGGAGACTGACCCTCCCAGACAAACCGATTGATCATAAACCATTTACTCCGGCTAATGAGCTTCTCGTTTGTGCAACATGAGAAGCAAAACAGAGATAGATGTGCCTTCGGAGAGGAATATTTTCTTCTGCCTTATGGCAAAAATGTTGAAAAGCAGTGAATACCTCAGGCATCAAAAATTATTTGCTAACGGCTCCAGTGAATGGTTGGAACAAACCCCAGCAGTTCATATTTAACTAACCGAAAACGTTTTTAAGATTTGACAACTTTATGAAAAGTCTTCTAATTCAGTGGTTATATGTATAGAATAATTTTATTTGAAAGCCAACAATTTGAACCACGGCAAAGGCTTCTATAATCGGAACACGCCTAGAGTAGAAGCAGAAGACCAATACTATTTGGGATTCCAGCATTTAGTGCGTGCTCGATGCAATATATGTAGAAAGTCTGATTCCATGATTGATGAATGGCACCCAACAAAAGAAGGTTCCTTTAACTTCATCAATTTTTATGCATAAAAAACGTGTTTGTGCCTTTTGAAGAAAATTTTACGAGCACACCATTCTTTCAGTGATAGAACTGCCTGAAGGGCATGAATAGTTCTGTTGATACGGATTATCAGAGACTCGTTAGCTGGTCGCAAGTTCGTAAGTTAATGGGTTATTGAGACGACAGTGTTCCATAACGGTCGAGATATCCTTGATTGAATCATGTTGTGGTTGTAGCGATTATCACTGATTAAACCAGCTGCATATGGTTCTGCTTTGTGTTAGAACCTCTACTTGATAAGACCTCGACGATGTCTCAGCACATATGGAGCAATGACCAAATTAGTGAATCACATAACAACAAATACGATGGAATGTAGATTGATGAACTGTTGTGGTAGGGAGGAAGGTTAATCGCAAACTTATTATGTTGTTTGAGACAGTTTTACACAAGACGAGGAATATCTGATTACAGAACTATGTAATAACAGTCCGTATTGAATAACTATTGATTATAATTATAGATTTCTGCGTCATCAATATATGCAGTCTGGTGAATCTTGCTAACTATAGCTCGCATGAGGATACCTGCACATGTGTCAAGATTTGACTAAGTATAAGATGATATATAATTTTGACCTGATGATTATAAACGGCATTGTAAAGCAGAGGTCTCGATGGTCATTGGCATTCAGTGATTGCACAAAATGTGCTGAAGCTCACAGTCACAGCAGGCCACGAATCTGCGATATTTTAGCACCTGTAGTGCGTGGATAAAAAGCCGCATCACTAGGCACAACGAATATAAATTCTCTTCGAACACTTACCGATATGCTGCTACCCGCTGACATACTCATACATAAAAATAAATATGGATTTTAAGTATTTGCTAGCAAACTGCTAGTTTTCGATTCCGCCGGTATGCATTTCAGTTATGGTGCGAATATTCTGCTCTTGTGAAGGTCAAGCTCTTGTGCAAAAATGTTGAACTATTCTAAAGTCAATTTGTTTGTTGTCTTTCCATCTTATGTGTCCATATTTCATTAAGAAAGAGAGAGGGCATGCTTTGTTTGTGTGACTGGTTCAACAAGTTTTTATCTTTTCTATAAGGGATCATCAATAACGCTGTTGCCGTTTAAAAGTGAATTAGAACGAGCACAATTCTCAAATGCAAAGATCCGGAACTGCAAGTACATGGCAGAATCTACTGCACGTGGGAGAGTAACGTGTATTGTGTCAAAAAAGGAAACTGACCTGCTCAGGGTCGTAAAACAGACTCATGAGAAAGCTAGAATCAGAAGAAAAAGGTGCCTGAATTTCAACAAATCAGAATTGACCATCAACGTTGCAGGCGACCGTATGACAACCCGATAAAGTCATCGTCGACTGGGTTCAAAAAAGCGCTCGAAGATCATCTAACGTGGAACATGACTTATAGTTTTCTGATCGAGAGAAATCAGTGGAACCGCAAAGCTTGAGGGAATATGTGAAGTGAGTGAGTGAAAAAGTAGTTTGCGTTACGCCTTAGAGGTGGTGGATTCAGACCCGAACGAGGCGAAAACTTTTCCTGGACTCGTCCCCTCAAGAGGTAATCTCTTTGGAATCGCTTCGTTGCCACCAGCAAAAAAGCGGATGACAAGTCGTTGACTTGTTAACATTATGAGCAGCATAGTGTTCTGACACAGTTATGCCTGTGGGTACGATGCTGGCGGCCGTGCTGTCTGATGATGGGGGGGGGGCAATTCCTCTTAGGCCATCTTATAATTTATTAAAGATCGATGTGCAAACAAGATTTTAAAAAGTTACAATGGATGGCAACGAACAGATTGAACATTGTGGTGCCATAGTTCGATTATGATGTTTGATTCATGCCTAATAACTGCAGTTCTTAATGTCCCATCTGACATCTAGCTCTTTCAAGTACAAGCTGGAACCTTCAATTTAAATTAATAATTTAAACTGAGTGCTCCTGATGAAACGAGTGCCTGAAAACGGTGCAGGAGCCCTTTACAGTAATCTGAAAAATGGCACTGCCCGTCACTTGTCCATCATATTAGTCCGTGATCAGAACCTCACATAATACTCCACGTTTATGATTCCATTGGGCTGGATGAAGGAGTGAAGACAGAAACACTAGGTAACGATGGCTAACAGACCGAAAGGACTGCCGAACAGGCACTCGTGACAAATGATCCAAAAAAGGTACCTCGACAGAGGGTCGATTTGAATTCATGGCGTATTCACAAGAAGGGCAAGGGCAAGTCAGATGCGAGATTCGACCTGTGAAAATAGTCATGACACGATTGCTCTATTTTGTGGCACTTTTTACTTAAAGGTCATACGAATATAATGCGAACAGAAGATCATCAC